GCAGAAAAGAAATTTTTAATAATTTTGGTTTCCACGGTATTCTCAAATATCATAATAAATTTTTTGCTTTATAAAAAATAATATAAGTATTTACCGTTAGCAATAATTATTATAATTATTACCGGAATAAAAAAAATGAAAAATTTTATTCCATGGTGGCATACAACATGACACACTATCTTCTGACATAGTCTGTCGGCCATACACCAGACGGTGGAATTTGTAAATCATTATCAGGTGCCTAGGTCGTTAGGTGTGAGCAGACTTGACGGGCTTTGGGTAGATGGTCTGAACCCATGTCTACTCACCGTATTAACATCTTGGGTAGTGGTCCTTGATCCGCTGGCCGAGGCTAAAGACGAGATGTGTGCTTCCTCACTACCTCCTCCACCACCTCCAGACACGCCTTGCTGGTCCCAAAGGCAAGCGACCATCCGGCCCCACCATGCCCATAGCAATGAATGATTCGACTGTCCTGTCCAGCCAGCGTCTTCCTTCCTTCGCGCTCGATCCGAATCTGGGAGTTCCGATAAGGTCGCAGCCCTTGTGCGAATGGATATTGAGGATCTAGTCGCGCATTCTTCAAAACCGGTACGAGGTCTTCGCATCGCTTGCGCATCCTCTGGATTACTGGTGAGTTGGGCGTGAGATCGAGATTCATCTCATGGGCTTGCTCGATGGACCCAAGAACCAATGTATCGTCACTTCGCGGGACGATGAAGGCAATGTCGATGTATTTCCCATCGGCGTCCTCATCTGCCGCCACGATAATAGAGCTCTCAATCTTCGGAAAGTCCGATCCATCGTTGACCACCCGCAAGATGCCTCCTCGTAACGAATGGGCCCTCGGGTCCGAGGCAATCTCTCGAGCTCCAAGTCCACTCGCATTCACAATCGCATCGGCACGATACGTGGTCAACAGGTGCGATTCTTGATCGCGCAGATCCCCCACAATGCTGTCCGTGTACATCCTCGCCCCTTTACTCCGAACTAGCCGCATCAAGAAAGCCATCGCAACGTCGGTATCGATCACCGGCGCCGGATGCTCGTATGCATCCTTCATCCCCCCATTCGAACTCACATCCACCCCATATTTCCCCGCCAGCTCAATTCCCCAGTGAAACTGTCCCGGGGCCAGCCTCCTTGCAACCTCCATTTTGGCATGCGTAGGTTCATCATCCTGGACATGATACGTGTGGAACGAAGCACACAGAGGCATCCGCACCCCAAACGCTCTCGCTAGCTCCGCGTTCGCCGCCAGCTTCTCATAGATTACATAACTCTCCAGCGCCCATCGCTGCGCCGTTTTCAGATCGGCTTCGGTGAGCTCTTGGTCGGTAAGTCTTACCCCGCCGCATTGCGTGGGCGGAAGCTCCCATAATGCGCCGGCCACCTGGGATGTAAGACGCTGGGTGCGACCGTAGCTGGCCCATTCCTTCGATATAATGGTTACGTGATAGCCCGTGTCCAGAAGATGCCAGGTAGTCGTTAGACCCGTGACTCCAGCACCGATAACGAGGACGTGTGGGGCGTTGGGAGCCGGTTTGCGGAGTGGATCTGGGCCAGCAGAGAGGTCGCTATTCAGGTGAAATGGCGTTGACGGAGTCATCTTGGCTATTGCTTGGAGCCGGTGGGTTGTAGGATTGGGTGGGTCGATCAGTTGGATCTTGATCGAGGATACTTGACCGCGGACGATGGACGATGCTTAAGTGCCTTCTCGCGGGAGGGGAAATGAAGAAAAGAATGTGGCGGTGTGATGGTGATGCATGAGACTGCATGGATATGTGTCACATTCTGGTTGACAGTATCGTTATAGATACTTTGGACCCTGATTTCGCCACAAGGTCTAGGATACCAGACCAGAACCACCAGTCTGCTACCTAGTAGATTTCCGGTGGATAGACCGATCTACGTGGTGACCCCGATAATGGTCTGCATGGCGCCAAGTGGTACGAAACTGCCAACAAGCTGGCTCAGTCCTTTAGCTTCCTGGGCATATTACGCGATCACATCTGCCCCACCAATATCAAGGTCGCGATCCCGCAGCCATTTGGCTATAGTGGCTGACAGAACCAAGCAAATGTCAGCAAATAGGCATTGGCGAAACTGCCACTGATCGAAACCAAACAAATATTCAGTACTATCGCCAGCGACAATGAAGAACAGGTCGTGAATGCCACCCTCCTGGGATGGGAACAGAACAGGTTCCGATAGCCGTACCATGGTGTCCAAGCGCAGCTCGATACGTCCACCATTGCCTGCTCGTGTAACTCGAGCAGCAAAGAGGGAGGTGCCTTCACCAAATGCAACACCTTTGACTTTGGTATAATCGCCATGGTTGGTATAAGCGACATAAATGCCACCATCACTGGAGCTTTACACATCGCTGTCATCGCACCAAGCAATGGTCTCAGCTTCCTGGCGAGAATATGGGTCCAAATTCCCAACCTATGCTGGGCCATCTTCAGTCATGTTGATTTCGGGTATGGTACCGTCTGAATTGTAGGTCAATTCCTCGACAGCCACAGATTGGGTGTACGAGAAGGCAGAATGACCTATTACAACCCCTTTTGGCTCGCCCGTGGAGCCTGATGTGAAACCGGCATACAGGATATGATGCGCGTCACTCGCCGGCTGCATTCTTGGGGACCTGTCGGGCGGCACCGGGGCTGTAAGAGATGCTATGGCATGTGGTATCACATGGAATGGAACGCCCAGTTCCTCTGCGACGGCAACGTGTTTGGCCGATGCGAGCAAAATTTGTGGTCTTGTCCTTTGACACATCACAGACAGGCGCGCCACAGACTGGGAGGCGTCCAAGAGGACAAACCTACCACCAGCCTTCATGATTGCGAGCATGGCAACCGTCGTCCACTAAGGCTTCTCCATAAGCAAGGAGACGAAGTGGTCGGGGCACCCACCGGCAGAGGTTAATAGCTTGGAGGCGATCATTGAAGCGAGCTCATCCAGCTCTCCATAAGTTAGATTCCCGTCTCAGGCGCAGATTGCAGGCGAGGAGCGGGTTTGGCAACATCGTTCGTCGGTGTGACGGTTGGCAAGAAGCTGTTCACGGCGGATGTCGACATCTGCATTCCAGCAGTTGAGCTGCTCCGCCTCCTCCGGCCTGATGCTCTGGAGACGCGAGACAGTGACGTCCGGGGATCTCCGGGGAAGGGTAAGAATATGGCGGAATTGAAATAAAAGCATCTGGATTGTTTGAGGGGAGACTGTCTCTCGGTCGAAGGAAGCGTGTACATGTACTCTATCCGTCTGGCAAAGGCAGCATATCCGTGGAGAATACGGACGGATATCGTCCTGGTCGATTGCAGACTGGGGTTGGATTATCAGGATGTTACTAAAGCGACTGGCGGACACCGTCGTGGTTGTCGACGCAACCCTCGCGAGTGCCACAGCGACAACCTCCTGCGGACAAACTTTCAACGCTAATGTGACAGAACTTAGGCGCTTATCTTCTTCACCAATCCGGACTGTTGACATGCATTCTAATAATATCAAATAATGCTGTCACGAATGATCCCCACTACTAGCAACCCTAACGAGCCCTGCTAACCCTTACGACAAGAGGTTTCTTATCCCAGAACCACCAAATCCCTTGCTTCTCCCACGCCGGCACATCCACCCCAGCTAGATCATAGCTCCACAACAAGCGTGCCAGATTAAGCCGCAGCTCCATCCAAGCTAAATTCTGGCCCGGACAATTATGTGACCCTAACGAAAATAGATTGAAAGCTTCCTTCTGCCTACTCAGATTGCCGCGAAACCGCTCCTCCTCTCCCAGCCACCGTCTTGGGGCAAACTCACCCGGGCTAGTGAAGTTGCGGGGCACGCGGTAACTAGCCAGCGGAGGGATCGAGATGATCATCCCTTCCGGCACAAATTGCCCGGCTACCCTGGCTCCTCCCCGCGGGACCTGCCGTCGGGCATAAGCGCATCCCTTCCATTAAGACTGCGTCGAGGTATAGAGCAGATTTCAGCCGGGTAGCTGTAATGTCCTGTTCGGTGGGGAAGGTGTTGTGGAGCAGGTCGACCAATTTCCGGAGCGTCCTCTGGTCCCTCTCCTGCAGAAGATAATTGATGGCGCCCGTGATGACAGTGGTAATTGATTCACTCCCTGCCGCGACGATCAGCATCGAGTTCACTTCCATCTCCTCCTGCGTCATGGCGCGCGATGCTATCATTGTTCCCACGAAGTCTGGTCGCGTGGTAGTACTAGGAGTACTCGTGGCCACCCGCGCCGCCACCTTTTCCTCCGTGACCTTCCACATCTCCATGACCGGCTTTAGTGCCTCTGCTGGGGTGATGGCCATGAGGAAACGATAAAGCAGAGGAGAGAATTTTATCGAGCCAACAATAATGGCAGCTTTGAACTGGCTCACTGTCTGCACCCAGGGATGGTACCGCAGACCCTCGAGACATCTGAACGAGCCACCCCAGGTGAGATCATCTATTATGTCGAAGACAAGGTAATTGATCCACTCCACAAGATCTATATAGGCACCTTTGATAGCACTATCACCCCCACTACTCGTAATATTTGCGTCCAGTTTAGCAAACAGGATATCGATGTATTTGTGAACAATTGGCTCCTGGAGCGCAGCGAATTTCTCCGAAAAGCCGGGTGCCAGATTCTTACAAAGGTAGATATAGTCAGTCTCCGAGCATACAATTAGATTTGGTGCCGTTTTGCCGGGGGGTTGGTCCTTGTATTAGCGCGGGCGGACGAATTCACGATCTGAGATATAGATGTCCCGCCAGGCGCGGGGGACCACGAAGGAGAGTTCATCTGGTGCGACGCGGACAACGTCACCATAGTAGGCATGGAAGTCGTGAATACGATGAGGAAGTTAGCCGCCAATGTTGGCGAGGAGAAAGGGGAAGCAGAATATACACCAGAGGATAGGGCCGGGATAGCTGGCGAGAGGATGGAGAGAGAGATTATAGATAACGAGGGTGGTAAGATACTAATATCCAAGTTTAGATTTGCTTGCATAGTCTCCGGGGAGATAGAGGGGAGGACTGACGAAGATAAGCAGAATAGTTGCAATGACGAGAAGAGCCATTGCGTTCGGGATACAGGAGTAGAGAAGCGGTGGACTAGGAGACACTGAGAACAGAACAGTTGATACAGAAAACCGGCGAGGAGGTGGGAAAAGTCCCGGGTGCGGCGGTGTCGGCCACATGACGGCCTGTCTTTTCCATGCCTGGGCAGATCCGGAGGTTACGTTCCAGACTAGCATGCGGGCTAAGCATATCACTAGTCGTTAGGGTTGACTGATCGGCTAAGGCACAGATGTGGCCGCCACAATAAGCACTAGGCCAGGGTCCGTCGTCCCGTGAACTACTCCGTATTTCACATCGGGCATCCTAGGTTCAGCACAAATAGCGCCCTAGAACCAAGGGATCCACATGCCCTCTTCTAGTTCTGACCGCCCCTAGCAGAGGGAAATTGGTTCTGTGGGCCGCGCGGGCTGCGAATGGTAGCTAATGAAACGCGGCCCGGACATGACAGGGTCCTCTCCCCGGTGCAGGTCGTTTACTACTACCCACTACTCATAGTAGTACTTCATGTTGTGCCCGACTTTTGTCCGACAACGATCCATACGATACCGTAATAGTGTGACACACCTTCCCCCAGAAGTAAAATTTCACGTTCTGGCGAGCTACTACACCCCCGAATCAATCTGATCCACGAAATCATGATGACTAAACCTGTCCCAGTCATAGCACGTCTGCTTCATGACTATCAGAATTTCTATATCCTTCTCGATAAGATTCGGCTGTTCCTAAAGTCCTCAACCCACCAAGTTCTCGTTAGCAACAGTCACTTGAAGATGCATTTGTATACCCGCCGAGGAATGAGAGCAGTGGGAGGAGATACTAGCCTCAATCAAATATTTGTCCCATCAAGAAGAAGTTTACAAGAAAAGAAGAAGGAAAAGCAGTGAATAGGACCTTACCATGACCAAAATAACCATCCCGGCACTCGAATGAATTGACATATGGCAGTGCAAGGGCCAGATTCCCGGGTTATCCTGCCGCCATTCCAGTACCACGTACGCAGGATGATCAGCCGCCCCGGGCTGTAGGATATGAGTGTCGCGGCGGAGGGGGTTGGACGGATTGGTGATGTGGCCATCCCACGTTCCTTGGCTTTCGGCAAGAACCCAAAAGCTGTGGCCGTGAAGGTACATCGGATGGACTGTAGCGTAGGTATTATTGAAGATGAGCCGAACGGTAGTGTTGGTGCCAAAGTTATACACATTGCGGTCGGTGGGGAAGGTGAGGTTGCCTTGCTTGGTGGCGAGGAGGGTGGGATTGTTATAATCTGCACGGAAGGAAGAATCATCCATGAACATGACGATAACGCCGGTAGCATTATAGCCGACACTGATGGTAATAGTTTGCGTGGTAGTGGGGTCGGTAGGGGTGAGAGGGTAGTAGGGAATTGTGCGGTTGAGGGGGTCATTGCGACAATTGTTGCTCGACCAGGAGTGGCCGGTTGTGTTGGGCATCAAGGCTGAACTAGTCTGGTTGACGGCTTCGTAAGCAATGATAGCGCGTGCCGTAGAGGTCGTAGCTGTGTTCTGCAGGCAGACCAAATCGATATCGGGGCGCATCCAGACGAGATCGGTCGACGAGCCCGTATCTGTGACTGACGTCGGTGCGCTGGCCGACCCCCAGAGTGATGACCTTGGTCCGATAGGGCTGCACGAGGATATAGTCATTTGCAATGACCAAGAGATCATGATTATTATAGCAATTTATAGGCGCTTAAACTATCTATATAGAAGTTTAGGATCCTTGTATTTAGCGCGTTGATAGTTGTAGCGGTAAAAGAAGCGGGATTTTAGCTTATCTCTGTACTGAACTAGATAAGATATCTATTTCTTATTTACAGTAGTAGATAACGTAATCGGTAAACGAGCTGCGCACGCAACCGAGCTGCGCACCACCCGTAATATGAAAAATTAAAACGATTAAAATACCATGAATTCAGACTTCTATATTAAGATGAGTAGTTCTATCGATTCGGGTAGTTTGTAATTTTATGGTCCTGTATATTACAGCTAGAATATCTAGGGGGTGCGCGTCTAGGTCCCGATTCAGCAGGCTGAGTTCCGTCTCTCTGAATAGCTTTATCTGCCTGAGCTCTGCGCTCTATATAGATTCGGGTGTTAGATACTGACGTACCCCCTTCAAAAGTAATCTGCTTAGTAGAGCGCTTTCGCTTTTTAGACTGTCTTTTATGTAAAGTCTTATACTGCTCAAGCTGATGCTTAAATAGTATTACACTATTTATAGCTTGCTCAGCGCCTTTAATTATCTGATTTATATAGGCTTTAGTAGGTGAATCGGGACTGCGAGACCGATTTTTAAGCAGTCTTTTAAGCGTAGATTCTGACTTTTTCAACTGCTTGACTGTATAAGATGTTTTAGATGCTGAGCTGTCTCGGCTGCTTGGTCTACTACCCGGAGGTGTAGGAGTATTGAGCTGAACTGCCAGCTGAGATAGAATATATTCAGGATTCAGAGGAACTAGGCCGGTAGCTCTAAAAGCACTATAAATATTGCTTCTAGTAAATGTCTGTGTACAAGCTTCAGGATAGGTGTCTAAAAAGTCAAGTTTATCAATATGATAAAGCCCGCAGTGTATTTTAGATTCAACGAGACAGCCGTACACGCGTTTTAAAGATGAGAAGACAGCAATATCAAGCGGCTAAAATCTGTGAGAAGCGTGAGAAGACATACATATCGGTATAATATTATTTTCTGAGTATATCTAATCAAATTAAGATGTCAGATAACTATTGTGGCTGTCTAAAATAAGTAATCGATATCGTCCGATAGATCGGCCTGTAGTAGCCGGTATAAAATGACCCTGCAGCCAATATAGACCTATCTCATTACTAGTCCAGCTATTAGGACTAATCTCAATCCTCTAATCAGATAGAATCTTTCGATTCTTATATCAGGCCTCCATATGTATCTTGCCTTTGAATATAATACAGGGAGGTAGAGCCTATCTATTAGAACTAATATATTCTATAGAAGTGACCTATTCTCGGTTACCTGGCTGCAATAAAAACGGCTTGTCTGATATATTAGATCTAGTAATTACTTTGGCAGTAGCTATTAGGTTTATTGCAAATCCGGTTTCATCGAAATTGTAGATATCGGATAAGACTATGCCGTACTTCTGAATAGCCTTATTTATCTGCTGAAACCAGGTATTTAAGATCTTCGGATTTTCTGCTTTGGTATATTGATAGTTGTAGCGGCGTGCAAAGCAGGTCTTAAGCTTAGGTGTATACTTAATGAAGTTATATATCTATTTGTCCCCTACAGTAGTAGAGGAAGAAGTAGTATCTTGTTTTAAAAGTAGGATACTGGCCATTTCGTATATATGTGCTGGCCGAGGAGGTGCTCTATGTTTATCTAGTAATATAATCCACTGCTTAAGCGATTTCTCTTTATTAGTAGTCAATTTATAACCGTTGGTACGTATATCGCCCCTAAAAGAGACCCCTTTTAGGCGACTGTGTAGGGTGGACTCGGGTAGATTGAACATCTCAGCTGCCTTTTTAAGGCTACTGAATTTATTTTTTTTTAGGGCCGATATAGCCAGTAGGATTCGGCCTTCTTGTTCAACGTGTGATTTTGATAATTTAGGTATTTTTGGTGGTATGGCTGATGTTTAGATCGTCTAAGAAATTCAGGCGCGTCGAAAACGCGGGTGGTGCGCAGCTCGGTTGC